GCCGCCTCCGGGGGGAGGGAGCGACCACCCGACTTTGCGCGAGGGCTTTGTGTCGTGGACGGAACAACGAAAGCCTACCAAAGGGTTTTCTCCGCTCTTATCGCGGGTGGCAGCGCTGATCTCGTGGTCAGTGCGCTGCCAACATGAACACTTCTATTTGATTCCGTGGGAACGTTCTCGCTGCTCTCATCGTTTATCGCTGCTTGAACATAAACGTACCAAAACTAAATAAATCACTTTGTTTCGTTTCCAACAAATTCATTTTGAGTTAGCTATAGGCATAGAAGTTGGAGTAAAGTGGAGTAAAGTGGAACTACGGAACAAAGTGGAATTTGCAGATAAATCCCACACATGTGAAGCTTTTCTGAAATGTCTAGTTTTTGTCAAGTATTACTAATTCCGCGCTTCTTTAAAATTTATTTTTATTTATAGTTAAAATGATGGGAAGGGATTCTGGAACTCAAGAAAACATGCTCAAATCATCTTCTCCCCCATACGTCACGTACAGTTTTTTACTGTTTTTTACTAAATAAATCTAAATATAACCAGTCAGTACCATTTACTCACTGACATTAAAGTCACCCGGGCAAACTGGTGACTCTCCATGAAGTCAGTTCTCTCTTTGAATAATTCATTTGTATAAGGTAAGGAAACAGTGAGATGCCCTCAAATATATTTTGATAATGCTTGCGCTCTAGCTGAAACAATAAATTATGAATTGTTTCAGCACCTTCAAAAGCGTAACACTACATTACAGTTCTACATTGGAAGCTACACTCATTACGTCATTGGTAGAGGCAGAATCCGATTCACTGATAGTTTCCCCTGAAGAAATACTCCCTGTGCAAAATAAGGACCAAATTCAAATTATTTAATTAGCTTAATTCACCTTTATCTCATTAGCTCAGTTCCACTTTGTCCTAGAGGTGAGGAAAAGCTGAAAAATGCAAACTCTCAAACTTTTTGTTTTAAAAAGAACCAGTTTTACTGAAAGCAGCATAGACGTTCTATATGTTATAGCAAAAGGTGTATTATTAATTATAAATAATAAGATATAATTTTTTGAAGTGAATATCAATATTTTAAAAAACTACATTGTATTACTGCTGCAAGCGTAACGGTTCCACTTTGTCCCTCTTTCCTCTACTCCTACTCAAAACAATTTCTTCATATTTCAGCCAAATTATATCGCAATAGATACATTTCATATGCACTTCATTTTCATCTCCTCATCATAATTAAATAAAATGCAAATTTCAAAAACAATTCTTCGACCCTCCATAATTTTCTCTTTATGCAACTACTCACTTCCTAAATATATTATACAATTCGTTCATCTTCTCCCGCCAAGAACCTAACTGGCCAAAGGCATTAATTGCTGCTGGATTATTTCAGAAAAACTTTTTAATCCAACGTATCAAATACACTAATTAATAAACAAAAACAATTGTTAGTTTAGTTACGGTATATTTATAGTGTTAAGGAACAGTCTTAAAATACAACTCCATTTGTGAAATGTTAAAGGATGACTTCGCAGAAGTTGGGAAATAAATCGTTTCCTGCGCTCACTATACATATTTACCAAAGTGTTTCGGGTCAAAGTCTAATTTTTCTTTCCCTTTACATGAACAAAAATCGATTTATTTACTCATTATTTTTCGGAAAGTGTTCCAAGGGACATTAGTTTAGCATAAAAACAATTCGATTTCAATGACAATAATGATAATAACTGTTATTTAGCTTAATCATTCACCGAGATAATATTCATTTGAAGATGAAAATCTTGTTAAATTTTACCAAAAACGAGTCATACGTTATTGTACTGTGAAGTCTTCAATCGCACCAGGGGTGAATGACAACAAACGAAACAAAAGCGAGAGATTTGATCGGAATGACAGTTTTATAAATTAGCTATTTCGACAGGAAATCCTTTTGTCAGCCGTATTGTGAATCTATTGCGGCCTAATATGCGGCAATTAATATATGTATATGAATTATGGAACATTAAACGTTCTGCCGAACTTTAATTTTGCTTTTTTGTATCTTAAAACGTTAATGCATTTTTATATATTTTTCTTTTTAAATGCTTTTTTTCGTAAAGTTAATGTACTTGTATTTCTAGTCTTGGTTTCCAGTTCTCGTTTAAATCATTTTCAGTTCTACTAACCACATTAATTCCCTACTGGAAACGTTTCTCCACTTTTTGTCTAGACTGAAACTATCATTTGGGTTTGCTCGTTACAATGAATTTTTGGAGCTGAGAAGCTTCCATTGTGGCTTTAGATCACATTTCTCGGCGCGCGCACACACACACACAAAAGCAAACAAAT